AGATTTAGATCAGCTTCTGAACAAATGATAATAACAAAATTCAAGAATATTGGGACGCACACATCGCATATATAAAGATAAGATTTAATCGGAGCTGACTAGGTGAGTCGCATGGGGTTCAAATGGGTCCTGGATACAGCCTCTGACCAAATAAATCCCCCCTCCCCCCTTACACTCGTCTAGAATCGTCTACACACAATCGGGAAACAAAGAAGGAGACTTTTTTTGGATCTACTAATCCACCAACACGTAAGGCTTCCATGATAAACTGATAGTGTTTCTTCCAGAATTTTTTCTCCGGGGGGGGGGGGGGGGCACTTGATATTTTGGGGGGGGGATGGCTATCAACATTTTCCGGGGGGGGGGGGGGCGAACACTGACAAAAATATATGTTTTCTATATAAATTCCATTTCGTTCGGGGGGGGGGGGGGGTAGACTTGCTCGGATACCGGCGTTTTGTGATAGAAATGTAAACGTCCGCCCCCCACCCCCAAGATGTGCCTGGATGAAACTCTGTAAACTTATATTTCAGGTTAAAAATACTGTTATTCTATTTTTTTCTAAACTTAAAATAGAGTGCCGTATGTGATTTTAAACTTCATAAATGTCGAAGGTAACTTAACACGTTTAAAAGAGAAAAAATGCAGTTGTTTACCTTTAATATGATACCAAGCTCAATGATAGTTGGTCTCAGAATTTTTTGCAAAAACGCTTTGTATTTAAATGGCTACCATGCAAAAACGTTATTCTTTTGTATTAGTTTGTATTAGCTGTATTAGTTTGTTTTTTCTTTCTCGTGTACTGCGTATAGAGGAAACATTGTAATCGTGCTGAATAATAAACAGATACTTAGAACTTGCCGTTTTACATCACCCTATTCATGGTATACGTATTATTAGGGGTGTAAACTGATTCGGGAAAAAATCGAGTTTTTGTTTTTAAATGTTGAACCTTTATAAACTTTAAGTGCCAGAAAAACTTAGTTTGTGTGTGTGTGTGTGCGTTTGTGTGTGTGAGAGTGTGTGTGTGTATGTGTGTGTAAACACCATAAACTGAGTGCCGTTTCAGTTAGGTGGACGGAATTTTTCAAATATACGTAATAGTTTGTATGCGCAGGTTTCTAATAACTTTTCAATTATTACCGGTAGCAGGAAGTGGTACGTAACTGTTTGAGGTAGGTAGACGAAATCTTATATATAAGTAAACGATCTCATACTTGGACTACCCTCAAATTTTGAGTGACCTCCGATATCCGGAACTGTGGCACTCTACTTCGGAGGAAGTAAAAATAAATTTAACATAAAACCGACGGATTTTATTACCAAAGAAACACTTTAGTCTAAAACGTTTTCATTCAAAAGTGACCCTTAAAATAAAGCTCATTTCTTTAAGTCTAATCTCACTAGACAGACCCCTTACTTTAACTCACCTTCAATGACCCTTACTTTACCTCACCATCAATGACTCTTACTTTAACTCACCATCAATGGTCCTTACTTTAACTCGACATCAATACCCTTACTTTACCTCACCATTAAGGGTCCTTACTTTAACTCAACATCAATACCCTTACTTAAACTGAACATCAATACGCTTACTTTAACTCACCATCTATGGTCCTTACTTTAACTCAACATCAATGGTCCTTACTTTAACTCACCATCAATGACCCTTACTTTACCTCACCATTAAGGGTCCTTACTTTACCTCACCATCAATGACCCTTACTTTAGTTCACCCACCAATCCAGGCCCAGCTTATTGTGTATTTGCTACGTTCAATCCAACAAATCGTAGAATTCTTGTCTCAATTTTTTACACGACGATTTTCCAGAAACTTTAAAGCGCTACGGAAACTACCGAGACGCCAGAATAAACGCGAAGTCCGTGTACGTGATAGTTCGCGGCACTTCAGCAACCGACGGCTCCCCCTCACCCGATATCATTGAGGGGAAGTTGCCGGACAACTTGACCAGGGGTCATGTAGAGGACATGACCCCCAATCTAGACCCAACTCGAACTGCCGGTGACGTCATCGTACAAGGAATCCCAGACTCACAGAATGATGAAGGCGACGTGGAGGGTCACATAGCGGCCCATTTGTGTCCTCTTGACCCACCGAATCTAAGTATGTCCAAAATTAAAGTTAATCTTAAACACACTTTTGTTAAGTTTAGGGGTCATCCATAAATGACGTCACGCTTTTTTGACGATTTTTACCTCCCCCCTCACCTCCGTCACACGACGTCACAAAAAGCCAGACCCCCCCCCCCTAAAATGACGTCACACCTCAGCCTACAACCCCCCCCCCCCCTCAAAATTGCAGTTGAATTTTTTTTTAAACATCGATATTTTTCCAAAATCTTGTCTGAACTCTGTCAAAATAGAGTATTTTAATCAATTCCTAATATAATTTATTATAACAGTTTTCTTAAACGCGAAATAACGTCTAAAATTCATTTTTCTAACATTGCCTTTTATAATGCAAGAGTGTGATATCACACCATTTGAACCCCCCCCCCCCCCCTCCCCCTCATCACACACCGTCACAAAATTACGGACCCCTCCCCCCTACGAGTGTGACGTCATTTATGGACGACCCCTTAATAGCTAAGTTAAATTTGTACTAAGAACTTTCTCGCAGGTGTAATTTTAAAACACATGAGAAACATATGAAAGCAAGTCAACGCCATTCATACTATTAGTACCGTTCTTCTTAAGTCGGCCATCTTGCCCCAATGACCCAGAACATTGAACCTTCATACCTGGAGGAATCCTTCCCTGACCTTGAAGACGGCGGACGACTCCGACCACGTGACTGCGTGTCCAGACAACGGCTGGCACTGGTCATCCCCTACAGGAACCGTTGGCTCCATCTGCACGTCATGTTACATAACCTGTTGCCGTTGCTCAAACGGCAGCAGGCTGATGTCACCATATTCGTCATTGAACAGGTGAGTTTATTTTTACACGGTCGGTATAAACAACGATATGGCACTTTCAAAATAATCTAAATGGCCCTTTCTACGACGTAGAAATCTACCTTTCCCTATTGTTAATGTAGAAAACCTTAAAGCCCTACTGTCAACGAAGAAGTTTAACTTTCCCTATTGTTACCTATGGGCATTGTTGTAACAAGATCAAAAGGCATATTCTCGGCATTGGGAGTAATATTATACCAAGGATTATTTCACACAGTTACGTTTGTATATTCCTAATCCAAGCGTCTAGAAATGTGTTCCATACTAAAAAAAATTAATCCTAGAGATCAAGTCAATAGCGTAGTTTAGAGTTTCCACAGTAAAAATAAAATCAATTCCTAAATTTAAAAATAGATATTCATTGTGCACGTTTTCGGTAGCTGAAAATGTAAATAAAAAGCTGGGCTTAAAATACAGATTCAATTTTTTCCCAGTCATATTTTTTTTAAATATCATCTAACAAAACGGCTATAACAAAAAGACTTGCGATTAAAAAAAAACAACTAGCTAAAGAACCTAAGAAAATTTGGCTCCAGTCAAAAAGGATCTTTACGGTATTGGCAACAGCATAACTTTCGACAAATTGACACCCAACAAAAATACCTCCGACATATTGGCCCCAGACAAATAAATTGTATGTACATTTTTAATATAGACATGACCAGTTAACTCAACCCACCTGTCTTGACACGATAAAAAAATGTTTTAAATGCTTGTAAATGTAACGGCGGAGCAACTGAATTGAGATCCACATTAGATTACTAAAATATACCAAAAATGATAAAATGTCGAAGTCTTGCAAAAACTATGCAGAATATTTTAGTTCATAAATTACTCAGAAAATTAGAATATCCACTTCGATTTACTTAACAACTCTATGAAAAAGTTATTCATAAAGCAATAGCTTTTGATAAATTGACATGCGTCATATTGAATAGGACCGTTTTGAGTGGAGACTTAGTAGGGAGCTGTATTAACGGAGCTCTTTTGTAAGGTTCAGAATGTCTGAAATTTGTCTGGAGCTTTATTGACGAGAGCCCTTTTTGTCGGGAGTCAATATGACGGGCCCATTTGTCGCTTATATTTTTTTGTCGGGGCCATTGTATCGGGACGCCGTACAGTTTGGCAGTATGCCACACCCCCTGTATATGGCGCTTTGTGTCGCTATTGCCTCTACTTAAAATTTAATCAACAACAGTATCTATGTGTGCCAAGGTATTACCCTATACTGGAGTTGAGGTGTCTTAAAACGGGGTAACAACCAGAGGCGTAGCAACCCTTCCCGGCGCCGGGGGACAAACTTTCAATTTGGCGCCCCCTTGGGAGCAAATTTTAAATTTGCACCCCCCTCAACTTTTCGATTTGCACCTCCCCCCCCCCCCCCAGGAAACTGAAAAGATGCAGCTAAAATGACATTTTAATTTTTTTTACAACCCATTTTGGCGCCCCCTAAGGTCGGCGCCCGGGGACATATGTCCCCCTGCCCCCCCCCCCCCCCCATCGCTACGCCTCTGGTAACAACGGCCTTCCATTAACTTGTACTTGTATTAACTTAAACCCTCTAACCTAACACAGTGACGTTCTATTACAACTATTATTTTCTTTCATTCGTTTTTCACGGACATCACCGGCTCAGGGATAGTCTCCCGTTAGCCTCACCACGGCAAACTCCGACTAACTGTTTTGCATAAAGGTTTGATTACCGTGTACCTGTCGTTTCCGTCCATTGGTTCTCGCCAGGCTTATCAATGACTCGTCTACTAAAAACTTACCGCTTGTTGGCCTCAAACTACAATTAACTCTAAACCCCTAGCTTAAGTCATTATATTTTTGTCTAATTATTTCCTTATTAAAACTTCTAGCTTAAAGTAACTTTATCTTTGTCCAATTATTTTTTTCATAAAACTGTTCTAACTTCAGCCACTCTATCTCTGTCCAATGTTTGTCTTATTAAAACTAAAAAATTAAAACTGCTCTACCTTAAGCCACTATATCTCTATCCAAAATTCTTCCTTTCAGACGATGCCAGGTAGATTCAACAGAGGCGCCTTGTCCAATATTGGTTTCCTGGAGGCGGAGAAATTGGGCAAATTTGACTGCTACATTTTCCATGACGTTGATTTGATTCCACTCAACGACTACCACCTGTACAGGTGTGACAGCCAGCCCAGACATTTTGCTGTCTACATGAACAAGTACAACTACAGGTGGGTTTGTTGAGGTAGACAATACCAGTGGCATAGGGTCATAACCCCCCCCCCCCCCATAGACCCCTCGGTGTATATATATAAAGTATGAGGGGGTGCAAATCTAACCTAACTTTAACTACTCACACAATTAAATATAACTTGAACTACCCAGACAGCTAAACCTAACATTTAACTACGCACACAGCTAAACCTTACATTAAAAACAGCTACACTCAACATTTGACTACCCAAACAGCTAAACCTAACATTTGACTACCCAAACAGCTAAACCTAACATTTGACTACCCAAACAGCTAAACCTAACATTTGACTACCCAAACAGCTAAACCTAACATTTGACTACTCAAACAGCTAAACCTAACATTTGACTACCCAAACAGCTAAACCTAACATTTGACTACCCAAGCAGCTAAACCTAACATTTGACTACCCAAACAGCTAAACCTAACATTTGACTACCCAAACAGCTAAACCTAACATTTCACTACCCAAACAGCTAAACCTAACATTTGACTAACCAAACAGCTAAACCTAACATTTGACTACCCAAACAGCTAAACCTAACATTTGACTACCCAAACAGCTAAACCTAACATTTGACTACCCAAACAACTAACCCTGCCTATAACTACCCAAACAACTAACCCTGCCTATAACTACCCAAACAACTAACCTGCCTATACCTACCCACACAGAATATCCTACCCAGCCTACTTTGGTGGTGTGACCGGATTCTCACGTGGTCAGTACCTTCAGATCAACGGCTACTCCAACTTGTATTTCGGGTGGGGAGGGGAGGACGATGACCTGTACAATAGGTAAGTTACGTGTTTTCATCTCTCTAACATTCTGGGATATATATATAGCGAGAGAGAGGGAGAGAGAGAGAGAAGGAGAGAGATATGTATGTATATATATATACTAGCCGTCCCGGCCAGGCCCTGCTCTGGCTTCTGTGAAAAACCTTCCTGTTAAAGACCATTACCTGTGTGTTTAGTAATCATCATAAACCCGGCATTGCCCACCCAAACCACAACCAACCAAAACCAAAACAACAAAACGCAAACATAACGCTAACACAATTACAAATACAAACGAAAACAAAAACCTAACAACAAACCCAACCACAACCACAAACACCAATACAAACACAAAGAAAAAACAAACAAAAAAGCAAACGAAAACAAAAACCTAACAACAAACCCAACCACAAACACCAATACCAACAACAAAAAAAAAAAAAAAAAACAACGAAAAAGCAAACGAAAACAAACCAAATTCAAACGCAAAACCAACCAAAAACACAAATACAAACCCAAAAAAAAAAAAAAAACACAAACAAAAACGAAAAAAGAAAGAACAAAAACGAACCAAATCAAAACGCAACCACTAACGCAAACCCACCTAAACACAAAGAAAACACTAACGCGAACATAAACGCCCGGGGCGGAATCACCTGTTTTAGCTTAATGAACGACTATAGTACCCCAACTTATTCATAGTCTTTTGCACTCACTTAAACGAACGCGCCTGTTTCAATTTGATGAACAATTTTAATACTCCAAGCTTATCCGTAAAATACCTACAACATTTGCACTTGATCAATCCCCGCTAATTATGTAATTATTTTTTTTCCCAACACCAAAACAAAGTAATTAAAAAGTAAATTATTTTCACGGAATGCAATGGGTTTATAAAGGGAAGTAATTGTGTTTTTCCTAATTTATCAAAGGGAAGTAAGTGCTATAGGACTAAATAAAGACATAATTAGAATTTTTGTAAACGATGATATTTTTTTTAAAACTTGTGTTTAATGAACATGCCGACAATTATTACTGTAATTTGAAAAATGAAAATTATTTCCCAACACTTTCAATAGTAATTTTTTAGCTCATAAATTTAGACAAATGCGCACGATAATTTTCTAACACTTAAATTCGTACAATTCCAACGATATACAAATGCATTACATACAGAACTGAGCTTTATATATTAGACTAGCCGTCCCGGCCAGGCCCTGCTCTGGCTTCTGTGAAAAACCTTTCTGTTAAAGACCATCACCTGTGTGTTTAGTAATCATCATAAACCCGGCATTGCCCACCCAAACCACAACCAACCAAAACCAAAACAACTAAACGCAATCATAACGCTAACACAATTACAAATACAAACGAAAACAAAAACTTACAACAAACCAACCACAACCACAAACACCAATACGAACACAAAGAAAAAAGCAAACGAAAACAAACCAAATCCAAACGCAAAACCAACCACAAACACAAACACAAACCCAAAGAAAAAAACACGAACGAAAAAGCAAACGAAAACAAACCAAATCCAAACGCAAAACCAACCACGAACTCAAAGAAAAAAACACAAACGAAAAAACAAACGAAAACAAACCAAATCCAAACGCAAAACCAACCACAAACACAAATACAAACACAAACCCAAAGAAAATAAAACACAAACGAAAACGAAAAAAGAAAGAACAAAAACGAACCAAATCAAAACGCAACCACTAACGCAAACCCAACCTAAACACAAAGAAAACACTAACGCGAATATAAACGCAAAGTGCTCACGGGGCTGAATCGCCTGCTTCAACTTAATAAACGACTATAGTACCCCAACTTATTCATAGTCTTTTGCACTCACTTTAATGAACGTAGGCGCGAAACCGAACACGGGAGGCCCGGGACCCCAAAAAGCACCATGTCTGGGCGCCAGAGGACGCACCATGACGTCACCGCCTGATTGAACTTAGTAAACGCCTATAGTGCATAACTTATTCATAGTCTTTTGAACTCACGCGAACGTAGATACCATAGCGTACACCGGAAGGCCCGGGGCGCCAAATAGCACCCTGTCGGGGTGCCGGAGGACGCCCGGATTTGATTCACTTAAAGACTATAGTAACCTTTCTTATCCATAGTCTATCGCACTGTTCAAAACAAAATTATGCAGCATAGCGCTCACATGATAGCCCAGGGTGCTAAATCGAACCGTGCAAGGGCGCCGGCGGACGCGCCTGTTTCAATTTAGTGAACAAAAATGATAATACTCCAAGCTTATCCGTAAATGGAAAGAAATAAACGTATAGGATTTGTAGGACCTGGCTTATTAAATGTTATTGATTTAAAAAAAAAAAAATTGAACAGTATGTTCAGTGTATAGAATAAATAAAAGGCAGTGTTAAAAATACCTAACGACATTGCACTTAATCAATCCCCGCTAATTATGTAATTATTTTTTTTTTCTTAACACCAAAAACAAAGTAATAATCTTTCTTCTTAAGAATTTTTTTTTATTAAAGGGAAGTAACTGTGCAGTCAATACATTTCCGACACAATTTTAGAAATTTTATAAACGTCGATACACTTTTTAAAAATTTTATGTCGCGTTCATAATTGAAAATTATTCTTCTAAGTAAATAGAATGAAAATTGTTTTTAAAGACTTTCAATGGTAATTTTTTGACTCTTAAATTTAGACTTTGAGCACGATAAAAAATCTAACACTTAAATCCATAGAACTGTCAACGACAAACTTTTTTGCCACACGTTACAGAACTGAGCTTTATATATTAGATATATATATATATATATATATATATATATATATATATATATATATATATATATATATATATATATATATATATATATATATATATGTGTGTGTGTGTGTGTGTATGTATAATATGTATGTATAATATTTATGTATATAGACATATATACATATATATATGTATATACATATATATATATAATATACCTATGTATTTATATGCTTATATTTATATAATATATACATATGTATATATATACATATATATAATATATATGTATATATATAATATGTATGTATATATATAATATATATGTATATATATACATACATATCTATATACTACTATACTACAATATTAGATATACTTATAGGGGCCTAAATATATATACATATATATATATATATATATATATATATATATATATATATATATATATATATATATATAAAGAAAAGAAAACAAATTTGAACCTTAGCCTCCTCCCCCCCCCCCCCCCACATAAAGAATTTCTGTCCTTGCAAGTGGGGTGTGTTGACAAGAGTTCCAGGGTCTAAGTTTGGCAAAGCTTTTTATTGTTTATCAATAGTTAGCAAGCATAACACGACGATAATATCCAACAGGGCTTAGACAACAAATAGACAACACAACACACGCTTACTCAACTTAAAACCGCAAACACACCAATTTGTGTCTAGAAAGGCTTAGCCATACACCCACCGTCCACGCATGCGCAGGAAAACAATGTTGTAAAACGTGGGTTTGACAAAAGTAAACATGTTTTTCAGCATAATTTGCCTATGCTTTGTTCTATAGTTTGTTCATGTATAAAGCTATTCATACACCCTTATAAAACGTTCATAGCAAAACACTATTATCTGGGTGTTTACGTTTCGCATGTTTGACGTCCCAATAGCACTTCAGTGTCGCAGAGGTTGAATAGCATGGGAGTCTCTCATTAGCGTTGGCTCGCTGTTTTGTGTTCCAGGACTTTGTCGCAAGGCTTCAAAGTGTCAAGGTCGCCAGCCAACGTGGCCAGGTACCTCATGTTCAACCACAGTCGTGACGTCGGCAATGAGGACAACCCGGACAGGTAGGGGTCACATGGGACCTTGTGGGACCTCTGACAGTCATGATGACCTAATAGGACCTCTGACAGTCATGATGACCTAATAGGACCTCTGACAGTCATGATGATCTAATAGGACCTCTGACAGTCATGATGATCTAATAGAATCTCTGACAGTCATGATGATCTAATAGGACCTCTGACAGTCATGATGATCTAATAGGACCTCTGACAGTCATGATGATCTAATAGGACCTCTGACAGTCATGATGGTCTAATAGGACCTCTGACAGTCATGATGATCTAATAGGACCTCTGACAGTCATGATGATCTAATAGGACCTCTGACAGTCATCATGATCTAATAGGACCTCTGACAGTCATGATGATCTAATAGGACCTCTGACAGTTATGATGATCTAATAGGACCTCTGACAATTGTGAGGGCGTCATGGGACCTTTTACAATCATAGTGACCTACAGGACCTCTGACAATCATAATGACCTACAGGACCTCTTACAATCATGATGACCTCATGCAACTTCTGGCAATCACGATGATCAAATAGGACGTCTGACAATCATGATGACCTTAGGAGACCTCTGACAATCATGATGACCTAACTGGACCTCTGACGTTCATAATGAATTCTGGGAACTTTAACAATCATGACCTCATTTAACCTCTTTATTTACTTTATGTTTATACTCAATAGCCACCGACAATCACAGTGACCTCTTACAATCATACCGTTCACAACATTACTAACCTTAAACGCTCAATCAATACTACTGTAGTGTTTGGTATTGGTAAATGTTATTGATTAAAGGTATTTTTTTAACATCGGAACGATTAAAATGTTTGCTTGATTAGGCTGTACGCCTCAACAAATCTTAATTAGTTACATTAATTCTTTTTTAAAAGTCGAATATAACATAACTTGATGTTCATAATAACAAATTGAACAGCTTAATAAATATAAAAACATATAACATCATAATTCTCTAGACTGATTATTGGAGGACTAAGTCTAGCATCTTGGTGGTGCTTTTCATTAATGTTATACACTACTCAACCCCACCTTCTCCTTCCCCCAACCATTGCTTACCCCCCCCCCCCACATAAGGGACGGAGTGGTCTAGCGGTAGAGAGCTGGACTGCTAACCCGTAAGTCTAGAGTTTGAATCCAAGTTCAAGTCAGTAGACCGTCCCTGAGTCCACCCAACTCTGATGGGTACCTAACTCACGTTAGGGAAAGTAAAGGCGGCTGGGCATAGTGCTGACCACACTATCTCTTCATATGCCGAGGTCACAGAAACAAGTGAACTCTACTTCACTTGCCCCGTCAGGTTTGAAAGGGAAACTTACTTACTTACCCCCACCTTCTCCTTCCCCCAACCATTGCTTACCCCCCCCCCCTCCACCTACTCCTACTGCCCTCAGATCGAAACTTCTGAAAAATTCGACGAAGAGGATGTTTGCTGATGGCCTAAACACATGCAAATACCAAGTGAGGCAAATTACAAGGTACAGGCTATTCACTTTGATCACTGTGGCACTGAACGAGGCAGAACTTTTAAAGGTAATTTATAAAAGTTACTCAGGACGAAATACGCGCATTTTGAAAGTTTCATCTCTTAATGTTACAGCTAGAGGTTTGAAAAGTCTATTTAATCATGTTAGAAATTTTTTATAAATCTTTTAAATATATGGAAAGCGATACATTTATAGTAACATTTGTAAAAATTAAAGCTGTTTGGGAACCATCGATCACACTCATTTTATTATTTTTGTATTGAATATAAGCCGTTGAAAAGCCGTTTTAAATTATTTTATCAATTCAATTTTTTTCTTTAAAACCGACCTCAATCCCTTTTTAAAGACAACCTGGGTGGCCAGGGAATTAAAAAACTGAAACTTTCAGTGAAAGTGACAATAATTGTTTTCCATGATAAAATACACAATAGCGGTCATTGGGGATATCCTAATAGTTATATTAAATAATATAACACCCCCCCCCCCCCCCCCATCACCACAACACCCTGAATCTACTAATCCAAATAAAAAAATAAAAGTGTTTGCTAAATCACTATTATATTACTTATAATTATTTGTTTGAATATTTCTAGCCGTAATAAAAACCGGAATCCATTTTGAACTCATTTTACACACGTAAAAAAATATTCGATTTCTAGCAACAAACATTTGGAACCAGCTTTTCAAAACTATTGTGCACTGGTGTCGATTTAGTTTTTACCTTGTAAATAAATGTTGTAAGATCAGCTCTCCGCTATTAATATATTAATGGAATAAATATGTATGTACATATTAGTATAAAAATATGTGTATATATATAGGTATATATATATATATATATATATATATATATATATATATATATATATATATATATATATATATATATGTATATACATACATATAATTTTTAATGTAAATAACTTTTTTCAAGAAAAACATATATCTGTAGAAAAGAATGTAAGTATCAGAGAGTTGTAATTGTGACAACATAATCATGGTTTTAAGCTTCTTGTCAATGCTGTGAATAATGTAATATTTTATTAAAATGCATGTAATTTTCATTTATTGTATCAATGTCTCTTCAAGTCTGATATAATCCTTTAATAGTATATACCTTTTTGTAATGTATATTTTCTGTTTCTATAAAATGCTTAAAGTGGTGCCCCCTCCCATTGAAGTCAATATGGTTACGTCTTCTAAAGAAAGATTTAAAATAAATTTAAAGCGCTGTATCCATTTTCGTATCTTTCCACCAGCAAGCCTCGGCGTATCTTCTAAATGTAAAGAGCAATAACCAGACGTCCCACCCAGGCCAACAAACGAGAATAAAACCTAAAACATCTACAAATATCTCTCAGCCACTTCCGCTAGAGTAGTGAGGATTCGAACCCGCACTCTCTAGCTGCATCAAGTCCAATCACGACTACAAACAAACCATTCCAACTTCTGCTAAAGTACTGAGGATTCGAACCAGCACTCTCTAGCTGCATCAAGTCCAAAATAAAAGACACGAAAAGTGTTGAAGGGTCTGCCAAAGCGACCTGAACATGTAAGGGAAATAACACATGTTTTCTGTTTTTTTACTTGGATTGTCTACCTTGACAGTTTCTGAGGGCGATATATGCAAATATTGCTTTCAAATAAGTGCTCTTAAAAATGCATAACAATATCATGTTATAATTTATGCCGTTATTAAAATCAGAATATCAAAGCTTGTCAAAACTAATTAGAGAACTTTAAAGGTTTTAAGTTTCGAGTAGGCCTTCGGGCCGCGTCAAAGTGTGATTTTTGTAGTCTTTATTGTAACCGTACCTGTAAACCCAGTTGTTCTCGTTAACTAAGCTCTTGTCATATGGGAAAATCTTCTGTATAAATGTAACAGTGATAGAAGAAAACTTTGTTCGATATGTTTGTGACCTGACAGAGTTCTCGAAGTATCGTGAACTGTCAGTAGTCAGGGGAGTGAGACTTTGTGAGATTTGCATGTTCATGATAGTGAGACTTGGTAGATTTGCATGTTTATTATAGTGAGACTTGGTGAGATTTGCATGTTCATTATAGTGAGACTTGGTGAGATTTGCATGTTTATTATAGTGAGACTTGGTGAGATTTGCATGTTTATTATAGTGAGACTTGGTGAGATTTGCATGTTCATGATAGTGAGACTTGGTGAGATTTGCATGTTTATTATAGTGAGACTTGGTGAGATTTGCATGTTTATTATAGTGAGACTTGGTGAGATTTGCATGTTCATGATAGTGAGACTTGGTGAGATTTGCATGTTCATGATAGTGAGATTGACAAGAATATAAAATGAGATCTATAGGGTCCGAATTTTGAGACTAAATCTAATAGGAGAGTGAGTCATTTTTGCCGTTAGCATTGCTGGACAGCGATAATTACAATATAATGGTTGGAATTTTAATTAGTGAAATATTAAAAGTTGCAATAAAAGAAAAAAAATGTTTAGACTCGTCTCGTTCAAATATCATTTATGATGTTGTTACTGTTTTGTACGGTTTATCCTCTTTAACCAATTATATTTCAACTATGGTATATAGTTTTACCTTGATAAATTAGATTATTTTTACAATACCTTGTTGTTGTTCTTTTAAAATCATATTAGATAATAGGAAATCTGAATCACAAAAGTATACTTTTACAAACGTGAAATAGGGATTTACAAACTTAAAACTCATTGAGCTACACGGAATATGGTTACGATTAGCGACTTACGTCGATTGTATTGAACGAACCCTATAATCAACTAACAACTAACAAAGATGTAACTAGAGGTATTTGGCGTGGTCAAATAGTAGCACGTTTGACTGCTATCGCGAAAATCACGTGTTCGGATCTCATGAGTTCGTGAGTTCAAAAAAGTCTGCCGGTTACTTGACGCATCTTTGGAAAGTTAAAGTGGCTGGGCACAGTGCTCATAACAATATGTCTATCTGTAAGGGAAACTAAAAATAGCTGGGCACAGTGCTCATAACAATATGTCTATCTGTAAGGGAAAGTAAAAATAGCTGGGCACAGGGCTCATAACAATATGTCTATCTGTAAGGGAAAGTAAAAATAGCTGGGCACAGGGCTCATAACAATATGTCTATCTGTAAGGGAAAGTAAAAATAGCTGGGCACAGGGCTCATAACAATATGTCTATCTGTAAGGGAAAGTAAAAATAGCTGGGCACAGGGCTCATAACAATATGTCTATCTGTAAGGGAAAGTAAAAATAGCTGGGCACAGGGCTCATAACAATGTGTCTTCTTGTGTCAAAGTCATAGAAAAAAGGTTTGGAACATAAAATTCGAAAGATCACTTTATTCCTTTACGATGCAATCAACTGCCACATTTACATTCGAACCTCGTTATTTAAACAACGTAATCCGAGACAGTTTTTATAGTTTTTCCAAGTTAAGGGGCCGTAGCCTTCAGGCCTGGCTTTAAAGTCTGTATTTCTTTGTATTTCACAAGTAATAAATCAGCACTAAAACCGTTTTTAAAACTTGCTTTTCATTCAGCGTCAAATCTTCAAAAATAGTTCTCTGGACATTTATGCTTGGGATAAAACCAGCATGATTTTATGGTTGGTTTGTCCTGTTAATTGATATATAATGTCCACTCAACCCTCAAAAAAGCACAGAGACTCGTCTATATCCCGTTGTAAAACCTAGCCGGAATGTCTAGTCTTTCAGTAAAAGCTTTCTGTCATGATAACATATGATAACTTTCAATGGAAACCAGATATCGACACACAATCAAAAGTTTATTTCAACAGACTGCAGTGAATGTTAAATACGTTATTGAAACACTTCAGTATCTTTAGATAAAAAAATGCGTATGTATTCGTTAGGGCCGCAAAATCCATTGTACATTTTTCAATGTAAAATATGTTTGTGATATTTATAAAACTTTTATCCTGTACTATCCTGTATCCTACATAAAATTAAAAAGAATAAAATACTGGTAACTTCGGTTTATATTCGTTTACTTGTTTTTGTATGACAAGAAATGTCATAGTAAACTTGCATCGTTTACGTTATCCCACCACTTCAGCACATTAATCAGACACTTACCAGCAAGGTGCATGAAAACGTAATTTTGGGAAACAAAGGCATTGCTTTCTTTTATAAAAGCTTTTGTCTTTTTTTTATCAAAGCTTTTTGTCGCTAAAAGTTCTAATGAGCAACCAAAGCTTTTATAAAAGAAAAGCAAAATAGTTATGTTTTTTTTTTTTTTTTCAGTGCATTTAAAAGCTTGTTGCTTTAAAGGTTTTTATCTTTGTTTTATTTTCCACTTTTTAGTGAATCCTAATTTATAGAGGCGACACAACTAAATATATTTACCATCAGTAGGTCGAGATAAAAAGATGATGATCTACCCCGTAGAAACAGCAGTCCGTGAACACATTTTCTAGATGACAACTAGTGCCAAATTAATTACCTCCCCGTAGTTTTAAACCATTTAAAAACTTTATTATCTGCCCCTAATAGCCTTCAAAAGATTGACCGTCTCTACGATTGTAAACATTCTCGTGAACCACAGCTCAACATGCTGTTAGGGTGGTTGCGTCTAGAGAGTCATCTCCCCTTCTTTTATTGGATATAATAATACACGGAGTGATTTAACTTTGTTATCTCCCCTTAGTTTCGAACACGTTTAATTAAGTGTTACAGGCTAATTTTTTAAAAATTAATTTAAATTAAAAAATAGATAGACTTGTATTGTTATCGAAGTGGAACATATCTAGAATGTTTGAACTAAATCGCAACATTACAAGTGGGTCAAAATTGAGTTACAAGATTTGCCACAAACCCGCAAACAAACACACACACACACACACACACACACACACACACAAAAGACATTACGAACTAAATAAAAGCTTGTTAAAGAATTGTGGGGCCCAAAAATAACCGGGGTCTCCAGCCTGCTGCTTTATTAGCCCCCCTCCCCCACTGTAATCCCTACCTGGCTGATGAGGTGTGTTCGTTTGTATTTGTGTTTGATTGCAAGTGCGTCAAACTGCGTGGTTGCGGTACGTGTGTGTGTGTTTGTATTTGTTCGTGAATCAGTTGAATCAGTATGACTATATTATTCGCCAGAAAAATATTTTTGTCTGTACTTTTAATCAAACAGGGATTAGACAGGAAACACGTTTTGCTGTAAGTTCAGCCCAGTCTCTATAAGACTGATAATCCAATGATAATCCTATTGCTTTAATTACACACAGATGCAAGTTATTTCATTCGTATCACAACTGCATTCAAACAAAAATACATCGTTATGCCAAGAGAATTGCAATACATTCAGGAGCCCGGGACAAACTATCAAATTTACGCACCCCCCTCTTTGCTCCCTATATTATATAGTTATTCAAGCTGATGCAAAAATCCCCCCCCCCCTCTCATTCGGAAAGACTGGTGGCACTTTAAACAGACACTATCTCGTAAAGATTTTTATTTTGATGTCTTACATTTGATGACGAAAACAGTTAAATTAATGTGTAAAGCTATGTAGCAGTTTACTTTCTTAACTTTGATTGTGTATAATTCAACATCTTAGCTTAAAGTAACCTTTTAAAATAAATTTCCACCCATTTTAGCGCACCCTTAGGGTCGGCGCCCCCCCCCCCCCCCCCACCTCCAACTACTAGACGGAATCGCCTTCAAGTCATATTAAATGTTAAGGTATTCATCTCTTTTAAAAAAAAATATTAACACGCTTCAACAATTTTTCCATTCCTATAAAAGCTTCCACATCCCACCCTCCCATAGTTTACCCCCTCCCCCACACCCGCACCGCACCTCCTCTTAAGTACTTTATTGGCTGCCCTTGTCGTCCCTCTTCCCCCGAGAGGGTTCTATTGCTTCTTTCATATGGGCTAATCGCCTGTGTATACAGTAAACTCATTTAGTACAATAGCCATTGTATCAACTAGTCACCTGTCAAGGAGTTTTTTAATGTGTATTAATGTTGACAATACACGTGACATAGTACATGAGTTAATTATAACTTGTCCTGTACTTTAATTTGTAGTACGACGTGGTCGAATGCGTTTGACTGCTAGCCGATTGTCTCGAGTTCGGATCTGTCCTTGGACCTGTTGGGACGTCCCAGAGTCCACTGATAAAAATATAAAAGAAAGCACTCTTAACGCTGTGATTTGGTAGTAAAACATATTATTATACACGTAGGCCGGAGTGAAGATGTTTGGTTTTGACTACTTCACTGCGTCCTTAACAAAAGTACTCGACGTTAATGGCTTGCTATACATTCATAACAAGCCTGTACTCGTGAATGGTATCGTGATAGTAAATATTTACTGCACGACTGACTATTGATTTACTATTAATGTTTACAATTTGGGGGGGGGGGGGGATTTTAATGATTTTATTTTGTTTAATCTATACAAATAATTCTCTTCATTAACGAGACACCACCACGTAAGTTCAACAGACCAAATCGCTACCACACCCACCAGTCTGGTGAGCTGTTTACAGCCGGGTCGAATTAGTGATGGCTATTAGGGGCAGATAATTTAGTTGTTAAACGATTTGAAACTAAGGGGAGGTAATAACAAGTTCTGCTTGATCTTTTCATTGTCGTCTGTAAACTGTCGTCAAGGACGGCTGCTTTCACGGGGGGGGGGGGGGGGGGAGAGGAGTGGAAAATGAGGGTGACGATAATCGTCCTTCACGAGCTACTAATAGTGTTTTAAAGCAAAATATGTTCAGTCGCAGGATTGGTCGTGTCGAATTCACAAATTATGAATGACTGAAAAGTAGGAAATAGAACAACTAAATAGCGGCGTATGCTACGTTGCGAGTCAGCTCGTTAAATTGTTAAATTCAATTTTTTAAAATAACAATTTTTTTTTCACAATGAAGCATTATGATAGTATATAGAACGAGCCGACCCGCGGTGTATCATAGGCCGCTATTTAGTTGTTTTTTCTACTTTTCAGTAATTTATAATTTGTGAATTCGACAGTACCAATGCTGCCACTGAAAATATTTGCTTTAAAACACTAACCCCCCCCCCCCCGTGAAAGCAGCCTCCTCTTAGTTACCTCCTCTAAGTTTAAAATAGTTTCAAACTGAATTATCTGCCCCTAATAGCCGTCACCAAACTAAAAATTTAGCGTGAACTACAACTCACCTGACCATGTGAGTGGGGGGGGGGGGGTGGTAGCGGTAGAGAGGAAGAGAGGAGACTGCAAGGCGCGCGCTTGCAGCTTGTTTTCTAACGGCTCCCAGAAGAGAATTATATATAGAGATGTTATAAAACATGTCAACTTTCCAAAATTCTAAATTAACGTGATCTAATGTAATGGATGAGTGCGCTCATTTTGGTTGTGTTTTCTTCTAATAGAGCTTGTTTATAGGATTTTATTTATCGCTTACATAATATGTTATATCAACTTCACTCACATAACTTTATTTGCTATACGGAGCTTACACCAGAGCCCGATATGGTCAAGCCACCTACGGTCAAAGCAACTGTGATCAATGCCCTTAAAACCCTGTATTTCATATGAATATTTATAGTAGGCCAAAACTAATCAGCAAACAAATTGAAAGATCCGACATTTGTAGACAAAACATTTCTGTACACGTCCTGATAACGACATACAGATACACAAGTATCGATACCTTCACATAGTCGTACACGTCCACGTCATAATAATGTCATACTGCTACACGAGTATCGATACCTACACATAGTCGCACACGTCCTAATAACGAGATATTGCTACACAAGTATCGATACCGTCACATATGCCCACACGTCCTAATAACGAGATACTGCTACACAAGTATCGATACCTTCACAAACTCGCACACGTCATAATAACGTCATACTGTTGTACAAGTATCGATACCTTCACATAATCGCACACGTCCTAATAACGACATACTGCTACACAAGTATCGATACCTTCACATAGTCGCACACTTCACCTAGCTGCACACGTATCGCTACATTCTTACACATGCATAACGGCTAATCTTATTTCAAACATTGTGTTTGCCAAAGAACAATACACCGCCAGTGAAAAAAAAATCCTCTAGCCAATCATAACTGGAACATTAGGTCGGCCCGTACCGTGATTGTCGTCCCCTCCGCTCCAATCGTGTCGTCAGCTTAGACCGTCTTCAACCCGCAGTCAGACTTTGTTTATCTTTTTGAAACTGTTTCGTCAGGCTCCTCTTCTCCTAAATGTTTCAAATAGCTGCTCTCAAAAGAGTGAAACGGATTTACCTTCTGTTGGTCATCGTTGTGTGTGTTGTTCTCAATGTTGTTACTTTCTCACCGGAAAGTTGGCCTTCCTTGAATGGTAAGTTTTTTTCTTTTTCGCTTCTTTTTTCTGTGTTAGTAAAAACTGATTTCCTTGCTCTCTTTATCTTTGGTAATTGTATTCATACTTTCTATCACTGACACTCTATGTTATATCAGTGTAACTCCCTTTTATATCAGTAACAGTCCTTTTATATCAGTACCACTCAATGTTTATATAAGTAACACTTCATATTATATAAGTAACTGTCTATTTTATGTTCTTACCATTCACTGTGTCATCATCACAACTTTCTCTTATATCATTACCGCTCTCTGTTACATCAGTACCATCGTCTGTTATATTTGTACCACCTCTTGTTTCATCAGTAAAACTCCAGGTTCTGTCAATAATAACTCGCAAGTTTATTTTTGGTCACCGGAATGTGAACATAACCACTTTACAATTCTGTGTAATTCACACGAAAAAAAAGTTCAAACAATGTTCATGATATAACGTGGAGTGTTAAAAATGGTGATCAGAAAATACGCAACGGAAAGCTTGCGCATTAAAAATATGCGTAAATGAAAACTGCGCCAACAGAAGAATGCGCAAACAGGAAATTGCGCACACAAACATATACCAACACGGAATAATAGCCAAAGTGACATTTCCGCACTTGTTTTGCGCATTTGTCCATTGTGTATTTTTCTGGAAAATGAATGTTATCTGATAAACCTTCCTGTTTATTGAAGTAGCTTGTACTTTCCAATGGATATTCATATTCAAATCTCGTTTTTACAAAAAAAATATGAGTATCATGAAAGATATCACTCATATCTAAATTGTTTTAAAAAGTTTCTATGCATTGCGTATCAACCTGTTACGCGCCATATGGACCGATGTCTACGATTTAAGCCTGCTTTTCTTTTTAGTTTTGCTTCTATAGCAATGCAGTAGTTGTTTGATTTTGGATTTGTCTCTCCTAGATGGGTTACTGTCCTCAGCAGGGGCGGAACTACAGTGCCGCCAGACCCCGCAATACTGGGGGGGGGGGGGAGGGGGGGCACGTCATTTAGGGGCCCATAGCCGACCATAATAAATCTTTTATAGTTAAAAATAATTATTTTTTTGCATTTTTGACTTAACCGTAAATAACAAACCGATCTACTACAGTAGTAATGTTATACAGTAGCTAACACATGCTGTAGCGTAAAAAAAAATATATGCCTGAGCTGTAGTGTGAAAGATAGGCAAACGTTCAAAACACCATGACTTATTTCCCTTTTTTAAATAGTTAAACAGAGTGCTCATAAGCTCCTTTTAATATATTTGTACTAAACAATTTAAAAGGCAATTACTTCTCTTCGTTTTTTTTAAATACAAACTAAAGAATGACATAGCATAAAAAGGAAATATATTTAAAACAAATTATATAAATACAAAAAAAATGATAAAAATAAACATAACACGAGAAACCATTACACATACAAAGCTTTCACGCTTTATATTATTTTGATCGGCTAAAGCCTAGAGGATAGGCGGTATTACAGCAAACGTATTGAATAAACTAGTTCTAAATCTTTTTTTTTTTAAAAATGCAAAACAGACTAATGCACTCACACACGTAACATGTTGTAATTTATTTAAACAGAAAAAAAGACATTTTTTTTTCAAAACCCCATCAGGCCAAAAATGAAAATCCAATGTTTGGATATATATACTTATATATATATATATATATAAGTATATATATATATATATATATATATATATAAGTATATATATATATATATATATATAGAGAGAGAGAGAGAGATAAGAGAGAGAGATTGATAGAGAAGGGTGGGGGGCCAGCAATTTTTTTTGCGGGGTGGCCCTTTTTTCTAGTTCCGCCACTGGTCATCAGGTTCGAACTCGAAACTTTTCAGTTTAACAACTATGAGTTTTACCGACCCGACCACGCCATCTTTCTTATTTCACAAAGTTCTAAATCAGAAAACTTCTGACCTACCATGCCAGTTACTTTTGAATAATTGACTTTATTGTGTCACTAACTGTTACAATTAAAACTGGGCAAGTTTAAATTTGGCAATCAAGGAGCACGCATTTAAGGCGATCAGCTGTTAATTAGGAGAGTAAGACCGAAATGTGATCAACTATTATTGTAATTATTAGAAACCAAGATCGAACAATGTTCTCATAATATATATATATATATATATATATATATATATATATATATATATATATATATATATATATATATATATATATATATATATGGTTTAACACGTTGCCTTTCACATACAGGACATAAAGATTTCCTGATGGTAACGTTATCAGATACCTTTATTGGCAATCACATTTTTAATCTCCCAATCGCTCCTCGCTTACACAAAAAAATCCATACAGGCCTATTGTAGTTAGGAACGCTTAAGTGTGTTTACAGTTTATGTAGCAGGCTAAAAATTCCCCCCCACAATAAATCTGTATGCAAGCATTTTCATTGTTCTCTAGTACTCTTAGTCAGCGGGGTGAAAAGAGGGTTTGTATTTCAAGGAAGTTTTTTTAAAAATGTCATATGTGTGTTTATTTGATAAGATATCTCCCCAGTTCCTTCCACACCTTTTTTCACCCTCGCCCTACACCCCCCCCCCCCCACACACACACAACACGCCCATACCCACTCCCCACACTCTCAAAAGTCTTACTAAAGTTTTTTTTTCCAATAGGCTATATCAGATATGATATTGCGGGTGGGTAGATTTACAACCGGCTTAGCTAAAAAGAAGTTAAGTAATTTACAATCTTGCAAAGGGTTAAGAGATTACAGTAAAAGTTTATTTTCGAGAAAATCCTGGTGGGGAGGTGCACTATCACAACTGTTAGGAAAATAACGTTATTTAAAAGAAAGGAATTGGCTAGAAATGCAATCGTTAGGAAAAACAACGTTATTTAGAAGAAAGGAATTGGCTAGAAATGCAATCGTTAGGAAAAACAACGTTATTTAGAAGAAAGGAATTGGCTAGAAATGCAATCGTTAGAAAAAACAACGTTATTTAGAAGAAAGGAATTGGCTAGAAATGCATTCGTTAGGAAAAACAACGTTATTTAAAAGAAGGGAATTGGCTAGAAATGCAATCGTTAGGAAAAACAACGTTATTTAGAAGAAAGGAATTGGCTAGAAATGCAATCGTTAGGAAAAACAACGTTATTTAGAAGAAAGGAATTGGCTAGAAATGCAATCGTTAGAAAAAACAACGTTATTTAGAAGAAAGGAATTGGCTAGAAATGCATTCGTTAGGAAAAACAACGTTATTTAAAAGAAGGGAATTGGCTAGAAATGCATTAATTAGGAAAAACAACGTTATTTAGAAGAAAGGAATTGGCTAGAAATGCATTCGTTAGGAAAAACAACGTTATTTAAAAGAAGGGAATTGGCTAGAAATGCATTAATTAGGAAAAACAACGTTATTGAGTGGAAGGGAATTAGTAGACTGGAGTAAACGAAGCTGAATTTGTCCCAAGTACTAGTCAACCCGTATGTGGTGCTGCTGGTAATGCTAATAAGTTACAAAGAGAGGTTTAGGGTAGCTGCAAAATAGTTGTATACTATATTATGTGGAGATGCTGAACAGTGTATATAGAAATGAGGGTAGTTGCTAATCAACTTGTATATAAAGATGAGGGTAGTTGCTAATCAACTTGTATATTGAGGTGAGGGTAGTTGCTAATCAACTTGTATATAGAGATGAGGGTAGTTACTAATCAACTTGTATATAAAGATGAGGGTAGTTGCTAATCAACTTGTATATAAAGATGAGGGTAGTTTCTAATCAACTTGTATATAAAGATGAGGGTAGTTTCTAATCAACTTGTATATAAAGGTGAGGGTAGTTGCTAATCAACTTATATATTGAGATAAGTTGCTATATTATCTTTGGCGTGAGTAGATTCCATATAATTCGTAAATGTGTTTATGGTGGTGTGCTATTTATTTCTTTAATATGTGTAGGTGCCATAAAACGTATATTGAGTTGATGATGGGTGCTTAAATAGCGTGTTTATTTTGTAGGGTGGAAAGGTGCTATACATGTTACATATCGAGTTGAAGAAAGGTGTTATATAACGTACATATATATATAACGTATATAAAGTTAAGTTCCCTTTTCAAACCTGACGGTCTATAGGACAAGTGAAGTAGAGTTTACTTGTTTCTGTAACCTCGGCATATGAAAAGATAGTGTGGTTAGCACTATGCCCCGCCGCCTTTACTTTCAATAACGTGAGTTAGGTACCCATCAGATTTGGGTGGACGACGGTCTACTGACATGAACCCGGATTCGAACTCGGGTTAGCAGTCCAGCTCTCTACCGCTAGACCACTCCGAGCCCTGGAGAGGTGCTAACAGAACAGTAAATGTAGATCTAACTGTAATTAGGTGACATAGACTTGCACGTTAACATTTGATTAAACAGTATTAGTCTAACACGGTGATAAGATTGTATTCAGAAAGTACACACACGCAAAAACAGCCCTTTTATATTATTTTAACTGCTGAAGTATCAGAAAGAACAAAATCAAATCTTTCTTTAAACTACTTTATACATGTATAAAAACCAAACGCTTTTTCAGACATTGTTCCCGGGGGTGGGTAAACTGAGGTACATTTAAATCCCGTAGTTGGACATTGGTTAAAGAATAAATTCTCTCCATATTTTTTTCTTCCATTTCTTTCGAGAGGGAGAAGGGAGGTGATCCAGATGGGGGGGGGGGGGGGGGAGAGGGGGGTGTTCCCCTTAGAGAAGCCAGAAAGAAACTGTATAAAAGTTTGAGTTACTTGTATTCTTTAAACAAGCAAAGCATTAGTAAGTACGTACTGACGAATCAATACAGTGACAGGATTACAGGAAAGATCGCATGGAATTAGTTTATAAAGTCTCGAGGCGGGTGGATCAGTCTATCAAGCTGGGGTTAATTAGAAGAGTGTTTATTATGTTTCCCGCTTATCTGTGTGACAACTGTCTACTTAATCTTTCTTATCTTGACAGGTATCT